GACGTTGGTGTTTCGCTCTATTTTGTGGCCAGAATTTGTTTTGTACTCTGATGAAGATTAATTTCCTCATGTTTACCATATCTGAGTAATTGAAATTTCTCATTGTTGAACTTCATATTGTTTTCTGCAGCCCACTGAAAGATTTGGTTGATGTCCGCCTGGAGCTTTGCAGTGTCTGCAATGGAAGACACTGTCATGCAGATTCGGGTGTCATCTGCAAAGGAAGACACGGTGCTGTGGCTGACATCCTTGTCTATGTCGGATATGAGGATGAGGAACAAGATGGGAGCGAGTACTGTGCCTTGTGGAACAGAGCTTTTCACCGTAGCTGCCTCGGACTTTACTCTGTTGACTTGCAGGCGACTTGCAGGACTTGTGGTGGCCAGGTAACTTGCAGGACTTGTGGTAGCCAGGCAACTTGTAGGACTTGTGATACGGGTGGGGAGGGGTGGGGCTGGGAGGGGTGGGGAGGGGTAGAGTAGGGGTGGGTTGGGGAGACGTGGGGAGTGGTGGGGAGATGTGGGGAGGGATGGGGTTGGGCCAGGAGGGGAGAACTGCCTTGGCTGGCTACCACCTGACTTCCTACAAATAAAACTCACCTCTCACTCTACATTAAGACTACAAATATTTTAAGGTAATTAATGCATGTAACTGTATATGTATTTTATCGCTCTGGGATGCTTTAATTAAATGTCGTAGTATATTACATGTGGGTGGGGTGAGCTGACTTGGCTGGCTACCAAATTTCCCAAACCTGACTTCCTACAAATAAAACTCACCTCTCACCCTACATTAAGACTACACATATTTTAAGGTAATTAATACATGTACTGTATATGTATTTTATCGCTCTGGGATGCTTTAATTAAATGTAGGATATTAGGTGTGGGTGGGGTGGGCTGACCTGGCTAGCAACCATACCTCCCAAACCCAACTTACTACAAATAAAACTCACCTCTCACCCTACATTAGGACTACAAATTTAAGGTGAGTAATGGGTGCACTGTGTGTGTATTTTACTCTTTATTGTTTTTAATGCCTAATTCTACTGCTAACTTTATATATGTTAGTGTAAACTCACTATCTGCATTTATATGCATTTATAAGTGGAAAAAATGGCGTTCTGCTTTCCGGCAGTAGCCTGGCACCTAACCTGCCGTATAAGTGGGGCCCTACTGTATATATTATCATGAATCACTCTCTCCTTCATTCCAGTGACTACATACTTTAAGGCACTCCTAGTAACTGAATTGCTTTATTGACTTTATGCGGGCGATAAATGATCTCTTATCTGTTCCAGCTCAGATATTTCTCCTGCCCTAAACAGGGCTGTCAACAATGAACAATATTCCAAATGAGGGACCACAAGTGATTACGAAAGTGTCACCATGGGCATTATTTCCCCTTGTGTTATTAGAAAGAAAGGTCAACTGACAGTCAATCCCAAATCTTTTGTGTGTTCCTTTCATTCTATTTGATGATCCTTTTGAGTTTAGCATACAGTGTACCTTTTTAGTACTTCATTCTTTCCATACCTAAGCAGATGAAACTTATAACCATTGAACGTCATGTTCATCACTGCTCTCTGGAAAACACTGGTAATATCTTCTTGTAATTTTTCAGTGTCTTCTACCAGAGTGACTTTCATGCTTAGTGTCATCTGCAGATGATACAAAACTGTGATGGGTGTTTTTATCTATGTCTGCTATGAGGATAAGGAAACAGCAGAGGTGCCAGTGCCTTGGGGAATTGAGCCTTTTACTTCGCTGATGCTGGATTTTGATGTTTACCACTACTGTGTTCTGTGTATTAGAAACCTGAAAATCCATCTGCCTACCTTCCCCTTAATGCTCATGACCCTCATTTTGTGTGCAATCACTCTTTGATTGCATTTGTCAAACACCTTTGCAAAATCTGTTTATATCACATCTGCATTTTGGTTTTCTACCAACACCTCTGTAATTCTGTCATAGTGATTCAGCAGCTGTGACAGTCATGATCGTCCATTTCTAAAACCATGCTGGTTTAGGTTGTGCAGACTGTACTGTGTGACGAAGTTTGTAATTTGACATCTCATAACTCCTTCAAAGATTGTTATAATGTGGGATGTTAGGGCTACTGGTTTGCAGTTTTTTGCTAATACTCTACTTCCTTTATGCAAAGGAGCCATGTCTACACTCTTTATGATCTCTGGTATTTCACCTAATCTAGGCTCTTTTTCCAAAGAATACTGAAGGCTCATCCTAGTGGTACTTTGCACTCTTTTTATAAAACGGGAATTCCATGCATCTGGTCCAGGAATGTTTTCAATGTCTTTTTACGAATTCTATGAGATTAGTACTAATGTCAGTTAGTTGACCGGAGAGGCCTTCTGATGGAATGAAAAATGTTTCTGCAATCTCCACCTTACTGGCATTTAGTGGGTTGCTGAACACTGATTTTCACTGTTCTTTTAGAATTTTCTTCATTTCGTGTTCATCTTCAACACATGTCTCATCTTATTAAGGGTCCAGTTGCACAGGTAGTTCTTAGCTTGGATTTTGTGTATGAATAGAAATATCTGGAATTTATTGCAATATCCTGGATGGCCTTTTGTTCCATTTGTACTACTTCTGCTTGGTACGACCTAAGTTTTTGCTGTTAATTGGCAACATGGGTTTAGAACAGGTCGCTCCTGTCTGTCTCAACTATTGGACCACTACGACAAGGTCCTAAATGCACTAGAAGACAAAAAGAATGCAGATGTAATATATACAGACTTTGCAAAAGCCTTCGACAAGTGTGACCATGGCGTAATAGCGCACAAAATGCGTGCTAAAGGAATAACAGGAAAAGTCGGTCGATGGATCTATAATTTCCTCACTAACAGAACACAGAGAGTAGTCGTCAACAGAGTAAAGTCCGAGGCAGCTACGGTGAAAAGCTCTGTTCCACAAGGCACAGTACTCGCTCCCATCTTGTTCCTCATCCTTATATCCGACATAGACAAGGATGTCAGCCACAGCACCGTGTCTTCCTTTGCAGATGACACCCGAATCTGCATGACAGTGTCTTCCATTGCAGACACTGCAAAGCTCCAGGCAGACATCAACCAAATCTTTCAGTGGGCTGCAGAAAACAATATGAAGTTCAACGATGAGAAATTTCAATTACTCAGATATGGTAAACATGAGGAAATTAAATCTTCATCAGAGTACAAAACAAATTCTGGCCACAAAATAGAGCGAAACACCAACGTCAAAGACCTGGGAGTGATCATGTCGGAGGATCTCACCTTCAAGGACCATAACATTGTATCAATCGCATCTGCTAGAAAAATGACAGGATGGATAATGAGAACCTTCAAAACTAGGGAGGCCAAGCCCATGATGACACTCTTCAGGTCACTTGTTCTATCTAGGCTGGAATATTGCTGCACACTAACAGCACCTTTCAAGGCAGGTGAAATTGCCGACCTAGAAAATGTACAGAGAACTTTCACGGCGCGCATAACGGAGATAAAACACCTCAATTATTGGGAGCGCTTGAGGTTCCTAAACCTGTATTCCCTGGAACGCAGGAGGGAGAGATTATATACACCTGGAAAATCCTAGAGGGACTAGTACCGAACTTGCACACGAAAATCACCCACTACGAAAGCAAAAGACTTGGCAGACGATGCACCATCCCCCAATGAAAAGCAGGGGTGTCACTAGCACGTTAAGAGACCATACAATAAGTGTCAGGGGCCCGAGACTGTTCAACTGCCTCCCAGCACACATAAGGGGGATTACCAACAGACCCCTGGCAGTCTTCAAGCTGGCACTGGACAAGCACCTAAAGTCAGTTCCGGATCAGCCGGGCTGTGGCTCGTATGTTGGTTTGCGTGCAGCCAGCAGCAACAGCCTGGTTGATCAGGCTCTGATCCACCAGGAGGCCTGGTCTCAGACCGGGCCGCGGGGGCGTTGACCCCCGGAACTCTCTCCAGGTAAACTCCAGGTAAACTCATGTTTTTAAGCAATTCGACAACCCTTTTTCTTCTTTTGTATTATCTAAGCTCTCTTTCTATATTTGATCTTCTAGGTTTCTTTAATGGTGCATATTTAATATGGACCTCATATGCATGCAAATTTAAAATTGCAGGAATACCTCACTAATATAATGGGTTAGGTTCCAGACCACCACTGTAAAGTGAATCACCCTGGCCTCACTGACGTAGTTTTATCTGATGGCCACTGAAAGGGGAGTTACCGTATTTTATGGCAATGAAAATGCTATTTTTTTTCCCAAAAATGTCTTTAAAATTTACCCAGCATCTTTGAGGCTGAAGGTTACATTGCTCATAGGCCTCTGTCAGCATAGTTGCTGAATCCCCTTACATGTGTTGTATAGATTAGCTGAGCATTATAGTATCATCCATGTGTTTATATAGAAGACCCCTTAGGCCGAATGACTGTTTGTGTGACGTCACGGGATGCGCATGTGTACGTTCGTACCTCTGCCTCCCTCTCAGTCGCGGCATAGACATCCAGGCCCGAACATGGCAAGGCTGGGCTCCATCTCCCATCATCACAGTCTGACAATATATCGTTACCATCCAACCAGTGTGTCTACCTTCAACCCTCGATATCTCCTTTTAAGAACCCCTACGATACCTCAACTTAAACCTAGAGAAGTTCTGATAAAAGACAGTAATTTAAGCTCCTGTTTATTTTAAATGCATGATAAAAACCATCACAAACCAATATGTAGTGCGCTCATCAAGACATTGAGTAGAAAGAGAGCACGGCCAGTCAGCTGCGTCAGTAGTAAACAAGTGCAGAACAAAATATCAACACATGTGTTTTAACATGTAATGCCTTCAAAATTTAGCCAGTGTTTTAACATGTAATGCCTTCAAAATTTAGCCAGTCAGAACTGGGGGATGTCCTTGACACCAGACCATCTTGTTCGCCGAAAAATATGGGAATTAATTAAACAAGGCGTATATTTCTCATTTTGGGTTCCAATAAAAGACCATGTATAACTTCAAATATATATAATTTAAAATGAATATATTTTATCAAGGCTGGAGACACAAAAAGTAACCAACTATGTGTTACTAAGCCTAGTGTTATATTTACATGATTCATGTTAGGTGAGCTTATATTTCAGATGAAAAATTCCTTATCTTTCTCTACATATTTAAATGTATACATAGTCACCTATATAATACAGTGGAACCTCTGCTTGCAATGCCCCACCATGCGAATTTTTCAGGATATGAGCCGTATCCTGTGCAGGAATTCCGCTGGAACGGATTAATGGCATCTCAATTAATTTAAATTAGGAAAATTAACTCAGTATTTGAGCAGATCAGGTTATGAGCTAGGTCACGGAACGGATTAAACTCGTAAGCAGAGGTTGCACTGTATTAAATTCCAGATGACATACATTCTTCACTTATTATAAACCAATTATTCACTAATAACATGTTTAACTGACAATGCAAGTGTCATTGAATAATAAGAATAATGACATTAAGTTAACCCTTAAATGGTCCAAACATATATATACGTTTTTTCAACATCTGAAAGTATGTAAAAAATGTAGATCTTTTTTTTTTGTTTTACATTTGAAAACGTGTAAAAAAAACTTTTATCTACATTTTTTTTTGTTATATTTGAAAATATGTAAAAAAAAGTAGATCTACTTTTGTAGCAATATGAATTTGAACGCCGATTTGCTTGGACCGTTTAAGGGTTAAACAAACAGTTCTGTTCTAAATTCCAGAAAAAATTTATTCTTGTGTGATTACTCTTGTATTTAATACTTCAATTATTTATCCTGTGATGCTCCAGTAACTGACACTTCAATAATCGATCCTTTGACACTCCTGTGGTGAACACTTCAATAATCTATCCTGTAATATTCCTGTACTGAACACCTTAAAATATCATATTTTGTCATGTTCTGATTCTTAGCTCCTAATTAATCTCTCAGTCTTGTTCTTGTAATAAGAACCCCTGAAATCTTATATTTTGTTCCTGAACTGAACACTTTCATAACTTAAGTTATCAAGTAAAAAAATACAAACTTGCAAACTTGCTCTGATCCAACCTGGAAAAAAATTAGATAAAATTATTAAAATAGTAAATATACATACATATACAAAAAAAAAAAAAAATTATTTATTAACACATCGGCCGATTCCCACCAAGGCAGGGCGGCCCAAAAAAGAAAAAAATTCATCATTCACTCCATCACTGTCTGGCCAGAGGGGTGCTCTACACTACAGTTACAAAACTGCAACATTAACACCCCTCCTTCAGAGTGCAGGCACTGTACTCCCCATCTCCAGGACTCAAGTCCGGCCTGCCGGTTTCCCTGAATCCCTTCACAAATGTTACTTTGCTCACACTCCAACAGCACGTCAAGTATTAAAAACCATTTGTCTCCATTCACTCCTATCAAATACACTCACGCATGCTTGCTGGAAGTCCAAGCCCCTTGCACACAAAACCTCCTTTACACCCTCCCTCCAACCCTTCCTAGGCTGATCCCTACCCTGCCTTCCCTCCACTACAGACTGATACACTCTTTAAGTCATTCTGATTTGTTCCATTCTCTCTACATGTCTGAACCACCTCAACAATCCCTCCTCTGCCCTCTGGATAATAGTTTTGGTAATCTCACACCTTCTCCTTATTTCCAAACTACGAATTCTCTACATTACATTCACACCACACATTACCCTCAGACATGACATCTCCACTGCCTCCAGCCTCCTCCTCGTTGCAACATTCATCACCCATGCTTCACACCCATACAAGAGTGTTGGTACAACTATACTCTCATATATTCCCTTCTTTGCTTCCACAGACAAAGTTCTTTGTCTCCACAGACTCCGAAGTGCACCACTCGCCCTTTTCCCCTCATCAATTCTATGATTCACCTCATCCTTCACAGACCCATCTGCAGACACGTTCACTCCTAAATATCTGAGTACATTCACCTCCTCCATACTCTCTCCCTCCAATCTGATACCCAATCTTTTGCCACCTAATCTTTTTGTTATCCTCATCACCTTACTCTTTCCTATATTAACTTTTAATTTTCTTCTTTTACATACCCTACCAAATTCATCCACCAACCTCTGCAACTTCTCTTCAGAATCTCCCAAAAGCACAGTGTCATCAGCAAAGAGCAACTGAGACAACTCCCACTTTGTGTTTGATTCTTTATCTTTTAACTCCACACCTCTTGCCAAAACACTCGCATTCACTTCTCATACAACCCCATCTATAAATATATTGAATAACCATAGTGACATCACACATCTTTGTCTAAGGCCTACTTTTACTGGGAAATAATCTCCCTCTCTCCTACATACTCTAACCTGAGCCTCACTATCCTCATAAAAACTCTTCACTGCTTTCAGTAACCTACCTCCTATACCATACACGTGCAACATCTGCCACATTGCCCCCCTATCATATGCCTTTTCCAAATCCATAAATGCCACAAAAGCCTCTTTACCCTTATATAAATATTGTTCACCTATATGTTTCACTGTAAACACTTGGTCTACACACCCCCTACCTTTCCTAAAGCCTCCTTGTTCATCTGCTATCCTACTCTCCATCTTACTCTTAATTCTTTCAATAATGACTCTACCATACACTTTACCAGGTATACTCAACAGACTTATTCCCCTATAATTTTTGCACTCTCTTTTATCCGCTTTGCCTTTATACAAAGGGACTATGCATGCTCTCTGCCAATCCCTAGGTACCTTACTCTCTTCCATACATTTATTAAATAATAGCACCAACTGCTAAAAAGCTATATCCCCACCTGCTTTTAACATTTCTATCTTTATCCCAACAATCCCAGCTGCCTTATCCCATTTCATTCTACCCACTGCCTCACAAACTTCCCCCCACTCACAACTGACTCTTCCTCACTCCTACAAGATGTTATTCCTCCTTGCCCTATACATGAAATCACAGCTTCAGTATCTTCATCAACATTTAACAATTCCTCAAAATATTCCCTCCATCTTCCTGATACCTCTAACTCTCCATTTAATAACTCTCCTCTCCTATTTTTAACTGTCAAATCCATTTGTTCCCTAGGCTTCCTCAACTTATTAATTTCACTCCTAAACATTTTCTTATTTTCAACAAAATTTGTTGATAACATTTCACCCACTTTCTCATTTCTCATTTGCTGTCTTTTTACATTGCTTCACCACTCTCTTAACCTCTCTTTTTCTCTACATATACTCTTCCCTCCTTGCATCACTTCTACTTTGTAAAAACCTCTCATATGCTAACTTTTTCTCCCTTACTACCTCTTTACAACATCATTCCACCATCGCTCTTCTTCCCTCCCGCACCCACTTTCCTGTAACCACAAACTTCTGCTGAACACTCTAACACTACATTCTTAATCCTACCCCATACATCTTCGACCCCATTGCCTATACTTTCACTAGCCCAGCTATCCTCCAATAGCTGTTTATATCTTACTCTAACTGTCTCCTCTTGTAGTTTATACACCTTCACCTCTGTCTTACTTGCTGCTTCTATTTTCCTTATATCCCATCTACCTTTTACTCTAACTGTAGCTACAACTAGAAAGTGATCTGACATATCTGTGGCCCCTCTATAAACATGTACATCCTGAAGTCTACTCAACAGTCTTTTATCTACCAATACGTAGTCCAACAAACTACTGTCATTATGTCCTACATCATATCTTGTATGCTTATTTATCCTCTTTTTCTTAAAATACGTATTACCTATAACTAAATCCCTTTCTATGCAAAGTTCGATCAAAGGGCTCCCATTATCATTTACACCTGGCACCCCAAACTTACCTACCACACCTTCTCTAAATATTTCTAATACTTTAGCATTTAGGTCCCCTACCACAATTACTCTCTCACTTGCTTCAAAAGTTACTATACATTCACTTAACATCTCCCAAAATCTCTCTCTCTCCTCTACACTCCTCTCTTCTCCAGGTGCATACACACTTATTATGACCCACTTTTCACATCCTACCCTTATTTAATCCACATAATCCTTTAATTTACACATTTATATTCCCTTTTCTCCTTCCATAGCTGGTTGAGGAAGTGGCCAGAAGAACTGGACACAGAGTAAAGACTTGGGTGTAAGAGGCTGCAGACCTCGCTCAAACAGAAAAACTTAAAACTTAAGCATAATACCTAGCATATCACCAGAACTCACATCAACTGAATAATATTTCAACTAATGCTTGCCTGGTAAATCTAAGAGTGGCCTTCAGTTATTCAAGGCCCTTTATATGACATGTTAGGTCCATCCTGGAGTTTCCAGCACTGGCATGGAGCCCAATTTGACAAAAGGCCATTAGGAAAATAGTGTGCAGTGGTATGCAATAAGGCTTGTTCCAGAACCAAGGGGTATGAGTTATGAGGCAAGGTTAACAGAACTGAATCTAACAACACTAGTGGACAGAAGGACCAGGGGAGACATGATAACATGCAATATACTCAGATAAATTGACAGGGTAGACAAGGACATGCTGTTTGAAGTGGGCGACAGGTATTGCGGGACACAGCTGGACATTAAAAGACATGAATAAGCTACAGTCTTGAATAAGCTAGAGTGCTTGAGAAGTGGAATGCTCTTGATAAAGAAGTGGTAGAGGCTGGCTCCATACAGTTTTAAGAGCAGGCATGATAGAGGCAAGGAGGGAGTGAATCTTGCTAGTGGCAAATTGAGAGGCAGGACCAGGAGCTAAAATTTGATCCTGGCAACCACAAATCAGTGAGTAATAATAGGTAAGCATACACATGCACACATGCATGCTTGCACACACAGACACAGAAAGGACTCTGGGAGGTCAGAACTGAGGAGTACACAAACAAGGGATATACCAACAATTGTTGGATGAAATACACACAACTGAGGAGGAGGTAAAGAAGCAGCTAAGTGACCTTGATACCTCAAACGTGGTGGGACCGGACGTCTCTCCATGGTTCCTTAGAGAGGGAGCGAAGATGCTGTGTGTGCCACTATCCACGATTTTCAACACATCCATTGAAACTGGGCAACTACCTGAGGTATGGAAGATGGCAAATGTAGTCCCCATTTTTAACCCTTTGAGGGTCAAGAGGCCCTCTTCCAAACTCGTTCTCAGGGTCGAAAAATTTTCATAAGAAAAAATAAATTATTTTTTCTTATGAAATGATAGAGAATCTTTTTCCGATCATAATGACACCAAAAGTATGAAATTTGATGAAAAACTTACGGAATTATGTTCTTGCGAAATTAGCGGTCTCAAAGTTGGCGATTTCGCCCACTTTGGGCCCTATTTTCAGCCAATTCCAATGTTGCAGTTGACTAAAATCATAGCTATTTCCCTAGAACTCGATTGAGTATAAGAATCCGCCCATTTACCGATTTCAACTACCCAATAAAGTGGTCAGAATCTGGCAATTTGGGCAATTTCACATAAATTTCAAAAGATGCCAATTTCAAAATAGGGTTCAGAATAAACAAGACAGACATTCATGGCACTAAAATAACATTTTATCTGCTCATCAGTCACGTCTCTAGGCCCCTCTTACATTACATGTACTTTTGCTTTCCATTTTGAATTTTTATTCTCACAGAAAACAGAAAGTTTTCTGCTATGTATACTACTGTATCATTGTAAAAAAGGTATAAATGATATCAGCACACTTATGAAAGAATATTAGACTCACCAGTTGACGTGTATTGGACGTGTGGCTTGATTTGTTTACTCTTGAATATTGGCAAAAATCGATCATTTTTGCTACTTTGAGCTCAATTTCAAGGTACCTGTCATCGTGAAACCAATCAAAATCATCTCTAATTCTGTAATATATCTTCTGTTCTATCAAATGAGACCAAGGAAATGAGAATACAACCATAAATACCATACACAAATTCACTAGAAAGCCGCGGTTTTAAACCAAAAACTCAGTCGAAGTTTTCTTTTCTCATTATGCACAGCGTGCTTCAGGATTTTTTTTATACTGTGCACACTGACCACACAGACCCATTCTTTCATATGTAGGCCTGCCAGCTTTCTTCCACCAGATTTGAAGGCGCTAGAATTTAGGCATACAAGTACGTGATCGACCCTGGCTGCAATGATGTACTTGTACGTGTCCGACCCTCAAAGGATTAAGAAAGGAGACAGAAACAAAGCACTAAACTATAGACCAATGTCACTGATGTGTATAGTATGCAAAGTCATGGAGAAGATTATCAGGAGAGTGGTGGAGCATCTTGAACAGAACAAGCTTATAAATGACAACCAGCACGGATTCATGGAAGGCAAATCCTATGTTAAAAACCTACTGGAGTTTTATGACAAGGTAACAAAAGAAGACACAAGAGAGAGGTGTGGGTAGATTGCATTATCTTGGACTACAAGAAGACCTTTGACACAGTTCCTCACAAGAGATTAGTGCAAAAGCTAGAGGATCAAGCACGTATAACAGGAAGAGCACTGCAATGGGTCAGAGAATACCTGACAGGGAGGCAACAACGAATCATGGCGTGTGACGAGGTATCGCAGTGGGTGCCTGTGATGAGCAGGGTTCCACAGGGGTCAGTCCTGGGACCAGTGCTATTTTTGGTATAAGTGAATGACATGACGGAAGGGATAGACTCAGAAGTGTCCCTGTTTGTGAAGTTAATGAGGAGAATTAAATCAGATGAGGACCAGGCAGGACTACAGAGAGACTCGGACAGGCTGGAAGCTTGGTCCAGCAACTGGCTCCTCGAATTTAACCCCGCCAAATGCAAAGTCATGAAGATCGGGAAAGGGCAAAGAAGACCGTAGACAGAGTATAGGATAGGTGGCCAAAGACTGCAAACCTCACTCAAGGAAAAGGATCTTAGGGTTAGTATAATAACAAGCACATCTGAAGCGCGCATCAACCAGATAACTGCTGCAGCATATGGGTGTCTGGCAAACCTGAGAATAGCATTCCCGATGCCTCAGAAAGGGAAATCATTAAGACTTGACACCATGTATGGCCATAGGAGTATGCGCCCCTTTGGAACCCCCACACGAAAAGACTTAAAAAAAATTAGAGAAAGTGCAAAGGTTTGCAACAAGGCTAGTTCCAGAGCTAAGGTAAATGTCCTAGGAAGAAAGCTTGAGGGAAATCGGCCTGACAATACTGGAGGGTAGGGGGGTTGGGGGGAGACATATAACGACATACAAATACGTGGGAAATTGAAAAGGGGTGGCGAGAAGGATATTCCAGAGAGGGGAACAGAGACAAGGGGTAAAATTTGGGAAAAGTAAATTAGATGGTAAAAGAGATGTCAAAAAGTATTTCTTTGTCATAAGTTGTCGGGAAAGGGGAAATAGTTTGGCAAGGAGTATGGAGGCGGAACCATACTAATTTAAGAAAAGGTAGAAAGTCATGGGCAGGGGGGGGAGGGGTGACCATTTGAAATAGTGAAGAGGCGGGCCCAAAAGTTTGTCTCGCCCCCGCAACCAAAATGGGTGGTACACAACAGTGTCATTAACAAGTTTTTCCTCTAACGTTTTGGGAGGTTATTTAGAAAGCGGGCTCATGAAACAGTCAATAAGGAAATATTCTGGGTATTAGGTAAAAAAAAATTCAAAGAGGTGAAAAAACAGTGTAGTGAAAAATGGTATCTGGATTAAAAAATGGAAGTGTTCAGGCAAGGGATCCCTGAGGTAGCAGGACACAGCTCCTGACATATATGCAGCCATAATGTTTCCGACTACAACGAATCAGTGGAGGGTTCACTGATTTATAGCACTGACAAGCTATTTTTGGGGGATATTGAATTGATAGGCAAAATAGTGCAATTAATCTGAAAATTTGTGTGAAGCTTTAATGCACCACCCCATTGGCTTAGAAAACTTTATATAACATTCAATTTTAACTACCACGAGACAGTGGAAACTGCAAAAGATTATTAGGTAACAGTACAAGAAAAGCAGATAAAATTTAAATTTCCAATCACCTAAACAAAACCTTTAAATACAGTGGAACCTCAATTTTGAACAAATCATTTATCGAATTTCGAAAATCGACATTTTTTTTGAACAAATTTGTCCCTATTATGAACTCCCCCTTTTTTTCGAACCCCCCAGTCCCGGGGCCCTGTCCTGCGCCCCTCTGTCCTTTTGTCCCCGGGGTGCCGGGGCCCCGTCGGGTTTTGTTGATGTTGGTGAACACTAACCTGCGCTCTCTTTAAAAACATTTTATGTTTTTTTCATTATGTTTAGTGTTGGGGACTGTAAAAAAAAGTCCCAGGGCCCCCAAAGAAATTGTAGGGGTCCCCTGTGGTAAGAAAGTGAGAAACCCCCTAGATGTAAAGAGGAAAAAATACAGAAGAATGAGTGGTGTGAGACGGGGGCCTTGCCGGGATTTTGGGGGAAAAACAAGTCGCCCATCGGTTCACCCGGGGCAAAGAAAGAACAAATTAAGGAAGTGATTTTGCGAAAGGTTTTAATATGTCCCCCAAAAAAAGGGCAGCAATCGATCGGGTTGAAAAATTTGTTGGGGTGTGGTAAAGGTAAAGAGATGGCAGGGTGATTGTTTTCGGGAAAAATTATTGAGAAAGGAAAGGAAGTTGCAGCGATCGGTACGAAACCCCGGGAATCAGTGTGATAGTAAATTTTAAAGGCCCAGCAGAGGCTGGTTGACAGATTAAGAAGCATAGTGCATACCATTGAAACAAGTTAGGAAAAAACATGCCCCTTTTGGGAAATCTAAGAGGGCCAGAAACAGGGGAGTGGACAGTTTTTTTGTGAGACGGGGTCCAGTGACTCTCAAGGGTCCTGTGGCTTTAAAAGACAGAAAAGGGAAGAAACCCCCCTTTCCTCTGGGGGGGTTTCCCCTTCCAAACTAACCCCAATCCCTTCTTCTCCCCCTTTTTTCCAGATGCCATCACCATCTTAAATTAAAGGGGTAATTTAAATGTTATTTTATGTTTTTTTTTGCATTTATTAATACAAAAATTAAAACCTTATTTGTTGATGTAAAACTGTAATTAATCCCCAAAAAAATGTATTTTTTTGTGAATATTTTGGGTTTCTGGAACAGATTAATTGTATTTCCATTATTTCTTATGGAAAATTTTGCTTCGATTGTCAGTTTTCAAATTTTAGAACTAGCCCTGGAAGGTTAAAGTTCGATTTTTGAGGTTCCACTGTCCCCACCCCACTCTAGCCCGCACTATTTTCAACCCCCCACCCCCGGTTTGGCCTGGTGGAAAAAGCCCCGTTCACGCCGGAGGGCCCGGGTTCGTTTCCCCGGCGGGTGGGGAAACTTTCGACACGTTTCCTTACACCGTTGTCCTGTTCCCCTAGCAGAAAAATAGGTACCTGGGTGTTGCGACGGGTTGTGATTTGCATCCTGGGGGGAAAAAGTTAAGGACCCCAAGGAAATAATTTGACAGCCCTCGTGACGCATGCTTTTTTGGGGTTACCCGGGTTTGGAAACCCCGGGGGTTTTTTAAAAATGACAAAAATCTTATCTTATCTTTCTCACACCCCCACGTTTTCACCCTCCACAGAAGACCACAAACTTCTTGCACCCCAAAATTACACCCCCTCTTATCAACAGCCCAAAAAAGTACACCATACACAACTCGAAGAGAAAAAAAAAACTCGCACATCACACAACCAAGAAGAGGCTGGGCTAGGAGCTTTGACTTGACCCTTGCAACCACATAAGGCGAAATACATTCCACTAACCCCCAAAAGAGAGGAGAGAGAGAGAGAGAGAAGGAGAGAGAGAGGAGAGAGGGAGAAGGGGAGACGGGGAGAGAGGGGGAGGAAGAGAGAGAGAGGGGAGGAGGAGAGGAGAGTGAGAGGAGAGGAAGAGGAGTGAGGAGGGAGAGAGAGGGAGTGAGGTGAAGGGGGAGAGGGAGAGAGGAGAGAGAGTGGAGTGGGGGAGAAGAGAGAGAGAAAGGGGGAGAGAAGAGAGAGAGGGAGAGAGAGAGAGAGAGAGAGGAGAGAGAGAGAGAGAGAGAGAGAGAAGAGAGGAGGGAGGAGAGAGAGAGAGAGGGAGAGGGGGAGAGAGGAGAGAATG